GCTAGCGCCACTGCCAAGGCGAGCTGAGGGGGGGTTAGAGAGACATGGTGCCCATCCCCTACGTGCCCCGCTCTGCCATCTGTCACTGGGCAGGAGAGGAGCCCGAGGGAGCGGTCTGAGGTCTGAGTCACTCACAGCCGCCGTCGCCTCGGCGGGCCGCGCTCGGCCACGCTATATCTCTCTGTGCCGCTGTCGGGCCTCGGCGAGTGCTCCTCTCGGGCCTCGGCCCACACGCGGTTTTGCGGGTATCCCATTTGATATCCCGACCTGAGGATTCAACATTGATCTGTCTCATGGATCTGGGTCTTACTGAAGCTTTTTTTGTTACACGGCGTCACAATGTACTACAGCTATGAATCAAATAGAGCATGAGCGATTAGTAAAGTTAGTAGTAGCTAATTAGTAACATTTTCAATTAAAAGTAACAAAGAATGTCTGGTTCCTAAATGTTTAATGGCTGGTTTTCCTTATCTTGTGTTATAATAAAACAAATAGCTCCAGAATTTTGAGTTTGAAGATTTGTCCCTTGGGCTTTGACAAAATGCAAAAAGAATGTTTCGGAGATTTTAAGGGACCAATCAACAGCTCTAGAATAAAACCTAGCGTTTCTGTTCTGACCTTCCAGATAGTGGAAGCAGCGCAGCAGCATGATATCACTCAGCCCGTACTGTCTCTTTAAATGTTCTGCACATTGATGTTTGACTCTGGACAAAGGTTGTCACTTAAATTCTTTTGCCAAGACGCCAGGTTATGTCATTTCCTGGCTGACGGTGTGTGTGTGTGTGTGTGTGTGTGTGTGCAGGGAGGGGGAGGGATGAAGGGAGGAGAAAAAAGGGGTCAAGTAAGCTTGTGCGTGCACTCTGCTGTAAGCAAGATGATCTTACTCGTCGATTGCCAATGGCAACAAGCATGTAACGCACAAACATCCACATCCATATGCGCAGCTCGCGCCTGCGAAAACCTCCACGCGGACATAAACAAACACAAAGACGGGAGACGGGAGGTTCACTCCGGGTGCCTGAGCCATGCAAGGTCAGAAAAAAAATGTTAAATGTTGTTGCTGATTAAGAGTAGGTGTCAGTGCTCTCACTTTCACATACACAACCGCTGCAACTGAAAGCCCCGTTCTGTGTGTGTGTGTGTGTGTGTGTGTGTGTGTCTGTGCGCGTGCCATCCAGTAATGAGTGATTCATGAGTACTAACTGACAGCTTGTCACCTGGTAACCAGAGGAGCTTCTGGACACAAGACGTAATCAATTCTGAGAAAGAAACTCATTATTTACTGGAAGCGGTAACATAAAAACAAGTCAATGTGTTTGTTCAGAACAAAGTGCAAACAAACAAAAAAAAAAAGGAGAAAAGCAATGAGTCCGGTTAAACGAGGAGTGCTAATGGTGGATGTCTCATTGTGAGACAACAACCGTCACGGCTGCACACTCCCCCGTGTTGACATTTCTCTTGTTAGCTTTGCTGGGAGCAGCACAACAGCTAAACGGAGGGCTGTGTTTGCCACAGTTGTGGGATCACAATAAAAGGCGGCTAGCAGGAGATCTGGAGGAATAGAGGGAACGTCGCAGAGGCATGCGGAGGCGCCGCCTTTGTCGGGCCGCGGCGAGGAGAGGAAAAGAGAAGAGAGCGAGCCGGGAGCCGCCGCGCGTCTTTGAATGGGGTCAGAGCATTGCGGGGAATAATGCATCTCCCTTCACTTGCGCCAGGCGCTCCTTCCATTACGGCTGGAGAAGAGACATTGTGTCCACACTCTGATTACCACTGATCCATGCTGATGACTCTGTTGGCGGATTATCTCAGTTAGTATCAGCCATCTGTTACTGTGTGTGTGTGTGTGTGTGTGTGTGTGTGTGTGTGTGTGTGTGTGTGTGTGTGTGTGTTTCTCGTGTGTGTTGAAGGGGCGCAGAGGAAAAAGGGGCTGGAGTGAGACACACAGGGGGTTGAATAGTTTGAGCCTGTGACACACACACACACACACACACACGCGCACACTCTCCCACTTCTATAAGGCCCAAGTATTGGCAGCCTTTTGTAAAACCGCCGCGCGCCGCCGCACAAACACACACAGACCCACACAGCACACATGAAACATGCACGCACCCCATTCCGCCTTCACGCCATCCCGGCCTCCTTTCAGACCACGCTCGACGTGCGAAGGCCACATGCAATCACAGGGGCCGCAGAGCTGTTTATAGCTACACCGTCCCCTGAAGGGCCGCCGCATCCCGGCCACCATTAGCCGCACGCGCCGACAGCCCGGCGCTGTGGCTCCGGATCCGGCGCCCGGAACGCGTCTTATAAATCATAGTTCAGCCATTAGCATAAATTCTGCCTCTCCTTGCATCTGCGGGACCCGCTGTGTCTGTTTGCACCGCTCGCCGTTGATTGGTTGCTGTTGTTCAAGTCAAATTGATTTAGCCGTTCACGGAGATTATAACGCGCGCCTTATACGGCTACTGTGGCGTGCCGTTAATTACCTATAAAATCAGGCTAATTCTGATGCTAAATCCATTTTAATTTCTCGTAATTAAGTCAGGATTGGATCCTTAAATACCTTGGCGCTCCATTATTGTTGCAATCATTGTTGTGGCTGTGCATTTGGTGGTGCATTGCTCGGCCCAATCTTATTATTGTTATTAGATTTAATTGCGCTAAGTGATCAGTTTGTAGTTGTCGGAGGAAGGTGGACTTGCAGCGCGGCCGTTTTTTTTCTCCCCCCGCTGTCCTCCCTCTATCCATCTCTCATCCCAGAAAGAGGCCCTTTGAGAGATTGTGAGAGATGAGAGGAGATGAGAGGAGATGAGGGGGAGGGTAGCTCTGCTTTACACCTCTGCAAAGGAGGGATTGCTTTTTTTGTTGTTTGTTAGGGGGGAAATCAATTCTGTTCACATCATCACGTTTTGACAAGGCGAGACATTAAGTGCGGATATTGAGAAACGACAGGAATGGTTTACAGCCTGTCCTTCATCTTCTCTTCCTTTTCCTTTCCCAGGTCTTTTTTTTCTTCTTCCCCCGACCCCTCGAAAAACAAAATCAGAGTGGATTGTCTTGCTTCTCCCTTTTCCGCTCCGGTCTCGCTGTCTCTGTTTTTTCCTCCCTTCCCTGTGAAAAGGTAGGGAATGATGCGCTTCACTTGCCAGCTGACACCACATAAGCTCTGCTCGTCCTCTGAGACACGCGCCTTTTGTTTTCGTGTGCATTATGATAATTATAAAGGGCCACAGCTCCTCTCCATTTTCATCACACTTCTAATGATACTTACACTTTTTGTCAAAATCACCCGCGGAAAAAATCCTTCTTTTTTTCCCCTCTCTCTTCTTTTCATATCCCCCTCCCCTCCCTTCCTTTTTTCCTCGCCCTAACCTGACATTTAAAGGGTGTCAGCCAGAGTGAAAGAGCAAACAGTGTGACAGCCAGTCATGCAACAAAATGTGTCAGAGAGGTAGCAGTTTTTTAGTTAATATAACAATAAGGCACTTCCTCTCAACTCGGCCAGACTTTTATTCTTGTAACTAATCTGTAACGTTCATTCATTTACCGCTCAGGATGATAATTTGGTTCTTTAACCCACATCCTGTCACCCCGCATGAGAGGCCCCCTGGAAGGACCTTTGACCTTGCTCATTATTACACAACCACCATCACTGCAGCAATGGCAGTCATGGCTGCCCAAGTCCGGTGGCACAGCAGCCTCCTCCTCCTCCTCCTTCTCCCCGCGGACTGCAGCAGGTTTTCTTGTCATCCGCGCCTCTCGCTCTCCCTCTCTCCCTCTCTCTTGTCAGTGTTGCTCCTGGCGAAAGGCTGATACTTGATATTCAGAGGATAGCAGCTTTTGTCTCAGAGATTTAATCAGTGGCTCTGCTCCCCACTGCAGAGGAGAGAGGGAGGGAGGGAGGGAGGGAGGAAGGGAGGGAGGGTGGCAGGAGCGAGGGATGGAAAAGAGAGAGACGCAGGCAGAGACTGTTTATGTGTAATGACACAATAACAAAGCCTGCCTGTAAAACACAATCTGCAAACTGTGCTTTTGAAGGGGATTTTCAGTCCTGGATTAGTGTCAGGCAGAGGGATATGGAGAGGGAGAAGAGGAGAAAAAGAAGAGAAAAAAAACTCAGGTTGTTGTGATAGACAGGAGGGGTGATTTCGTGCGTGTCTGTCAGCAGCGGGGGCTGAAATGTGTAAGTCTGCATTCACGCGCCCGTGCGCGTTTGTGGGTTTGCGTGCGAATGCATGTGTTTTGAAAGTGTTTGGTATTAAGTTAGCGGCTGTGTGGGCACACGGCCACATTGTGTTCTCAGCTGCGAGCCAAAGCAGATCCCGAGTATAATGTAAAGTATTAGGATGCAGAATGGCCAAATGTTTCTTGTGAGGTTTTATGTTGTTGGTTGCGTGATAACGGCTGGCGTGATGACTGACAATGGAACGCTACCTAGGAATCAGGGAGAAATGTTGTCTTTAAAGGCCTCAAAGAGCTCTCAAAATGTTAATGTCATTATTTTGCATCAAGGATCCTGGTTGATAAACACAGATGTGTGCTCGTGTGTGTGGGTTCAATCAGAATGACCCCCCCAAAAAAAGCGAAACATTTGAGTTTTTGGAGTCTTCCCAAACATCCCGCCTCGACCTCGAGTTTCTCTGTGAAAGTGAAGAGTCTGGATGCAGAGCTCATCGTCAGCTCTGGCCTTTTCCCTCTTGCATCAAAATGTGCTTTGTTGTCCGGCATCAGAGTCCTTAAAGACGCCATCGTCCTTCTTACCCCATATAGAATCAATGGAGGCGGGGAGCCAGTGAGCATGGCTAAATAGAAATATTGTTCAGGGGAAGTGAATTGTGAAAGGAAAAGTGTCAGGAGATGTGTGCGTGCGCTTGCGTGAACACGTTGTGTAGGTGTGACAATATGCATTTGTGTGTATGTGCTCATGCGCGCGTGTTTGCGAGTGTTCGGGCGGGTGTGCTTTGCTATTGTAACCCTGCTGATTGGATTGTGTTTGACAGATATGGAGTCTGGAGAGCGGCTGGCCTCCCCTGCGCCCACCCTGTCTGCTGCTCGCACCTCCTCCCCTGCGGCCTCTTCCTCCTCCTCCTCCTCCTCGTCCTCTGCATCATCCCCTGCTCCCCACTCCAAGAGCAGCCTGGCCCCGAGCCCCTCGGCACCGGGATCCAACCTCAGCACCTCTGGTAAGACACCCCGTCTTTTTTCTCCCATCTTCTGTGTCTTCAAAAAACCACATGTTCAGAAGAGAGAGAGAGAGAGAGAGAGAGAGAGAGAGAGAGAGAGAGAGAAAATACCACGTCGCAAACATTTTCAATATGACCGTAAAAAACACGCCAAATATGGTCACCTTCATGTCTTGATAGCATTCAGTATCCTCTTCATTTCCTTACCATGAAAAATGAGTTTCCTCCCGTATTAATTATACAGTTATTTTGCCCGTGTGAATACACCTCTCTCCCAGCAACAAGGGCTTTTTTTTTTCCTGACAGCTTGGGTTGCAATTGAAAAGCTGCTGCATTAATGAATCCCAAACAATTAGGGGGCTCTTTTGTGTGAGAAACACACACATGCTTCGCCATGTCTCCTGACAACCTTCAGCTCTCCGGCTCCAGCTGCCTCAGAGTTAGGCTCAGCACGACACTTGTGCGTGTGTGAGAGAGAGAGAGAGAGAGAGAGAGACCTTCTGCCTGCATGATTTAACATTTGTCAGCCACTCAGTGTCTAGTCAGCCCTGTCCAGCTTCCAGCCTCTTTTCTATGTATTGGTCAAAGCCATTAGGCAAAGAGGAGTGTGTGCATTTGTGTGTATGTATTTGTATCTCTGTGTGCTTTTCACATATCCCCTGTGAGAGCGAGTGAATCGTTTGCTCATGCTCTCCTTCTCCTCATTTCTTAATGTCTTGCTGTTTTTTCATAAGCCCGTTGTACACACACACACACACACACACACACACACACAGACATTCATGCACAAAAACCGAGATTGCGTTGAGCAGGGAATAGCATGTTCCCCCTGATTGTTGAGTTTTCTGTCTGTTACGAGAAGATGAAGAGCAAAATAAAGCCCCTTGTTTTGTCCTCCATCTCCTCAGTGTTTCCCCAAAGAAGAAGCCATTAGGAGCATCTCCGCCTTATGCATTATACATCACTCTTATCCCTCTGTGCCCTTACGTGTGCTCAGATTTTCTAGATAAGCGTTTTTGGACTGAGCGTCAAATGAAATGCTGAGAGGCAGCTCTGAAGCTCTGCTGCGCTGTGCGCCTATTTGTGAGCAGGCCAACTTCTTTTCATGTCACACCTGGTTCATTGGGTGGATTGCAATGCAACCACGTTCAGCACACTGTATACACAAATATTTTCACAAATAAGCCATAAAAGTCAAGGTGTACTTTTGCTTTTCCAGAGCCGAGTATTGTAATTAGAAGGAAAAACATCAACACGGAGATGTGAAGTGAATTGTGCAAGCAGGTAACAGTTACATATCCTACTGCAACAATAGAGTTGAATCACAGACTGGGAAGCCATTGATTCAAGGTCCTTTACTGATGGGCCAATAACACTTGAGGAAAGAAAGAAAATCTGAAGAACATATAAATGAGAACGCACCGCGTGAGTGTCTGTTCGTGCGCGTGCGTGTCATTGATGAGGATATCACTGGGAGAATAAAAGCTGATCGGCGCTTGTAGCACTCTCTTCTTCTGGGATCAACTCACGGATGCAATTAACTTAAATCTGTCTGTGGAAATTTGATTGACTGCAACAAACAACAAATTAATCCCCCTTCGGCAGCATCCAAACATGAAAAAAGCAGGCGGTGCAGTTTGTCAGAGCGGAGGAAGGATTGAAACAGAATGAGAAAGAGGGCACGAGAGAGAGAGACAGAGTGAGGAGGAGAGGAGCAGGTAATCCTAGGTATGTCTTTCCCCGTGCTTCTGTCTCGCTTCAAATTTTTAGATTTAATTATTCGCCTTCTGGAAAGCCTGCATTAATATTGAAAAGGCATTTGCAGATGCCTGGAAAAAGGAGAGGGGGGGGGGGGGGGGGTGCGGGGGAGAGGTGGGCACCCCAGGCATAAGTGAATGCTGTGGCTGGCCTTTCTGGGGGTTGCATTGCAGTCGTTTATCTTCGTATCCGCTGGCTGACGCCGGCGAGGCGGCCTCTACATATTCAGCATATTCTAATGACATTCAAAAGGCACATTTTGCCGTCTTGTTGTGGAGAGAGGGGGCCTTGAAGCCAACACAAAGGGGGACGTCCTCTCGCGCCGCACGCTGCCGGCGCGCCGGTAGGGCCGAGCTTCTTGCCGCAAGACCGCTTGATTCTCACTTGAATGCAGTCTGCGAGATGCACCCGCGGAATCACGTTGATTAGCCGCCTTCCTCGGTGTTTCACCAAGCACACATTGCTGGCCCAACTCTGTAAAGTCTCCATTCTGGATAATTCGATCCCACACTGCATTAGTTCAGAAAACACTGAGCTCCGGTGTCATTCTGTTTCACATTTCTGTGTATAGTAGTTTGACATTTCCATCTACACCATGCACGGCGCTTCGCTTTTCTTCAGTCATCACTATTTATTATTATTATTTTTTTTTTGCATGTGTATTATCTGGCTTATGCGAAGGTATCAAGCGGGCTTGCTCTCCTTTTCTGGAATAGAAATTGAATTTGCATGAAATATGCTCACACCAAATTGCATCTGACTCTAGGAGGAGAAAATACGCGGCGGTCGCCGCTGCCAGAAATGATTGTGCTCGGGAAAACGCTAGACGATGATGATGTTGATGAAGTTTTCTTCTGTGCGGAAATTGAATGCCGGAAGGATAGAAAGAGGTTCCCTCCGCACACCTTATGCACTCACTTCTTCTTCCCACCGACTCTACGCCGCCTCTCGGCGTCCTGACACCATCTTAACTGAAGAAATAAAAATACATAAACACGTGTGCTGAAACGTGTTTGTGACAAAATGGCCAGTGATTTAAATGTGACGGTTTTAGTGTAAAGACAACCTCATCAGGCTGAAGCTGCCGTCTATCGCCCTCTGGAACGAGGCGCTTCCTGCACTCAGAGAAAAAGCCAAATGTGACGTTAACGCTCACACAAATAGAAAACGGTGTTCTGTATTTAACTCTTCTGTAGTCAGGTGGATGAGACACTTTCAACAGCTGTTTCAAATCTGTTTTTTTTTTTTTACACCTCGATGGGTCTCACATGAAAAGAGGTCAGCCTTCTCGGTCTGCACAAATAAACATATACAAAACCAACAGTGCGGCAATGAGCTGTGATAAAGGTGCAATAAACAACTGTCATATCCACTGTGCAAAAAAATCCCATTGCACTTAATGGAACACTCAATCAGAAAGAACTCTTTTATCCATAACTAAACCGGAACCCAAAACATGTGTGTTGTTGTACACAGATATTTGCTATGGGTCGTGTCTCATTTGAAAACAGTTAAATAAAACAACATCTTGCATGCTGTGGATCCGTCTCAGGCCGTCTGTTCGGGGCAGGAGAGCAGCCCTTCATTGGCTCCGCGTTGTCAAGTGCCTTCCCTCTGGTCAACCACCCGGCCTTCGGAGCCCTCTACTCCTCCGGAGCCGGCAGGCCCGAGTTTGGAGGCCTGGGTTCCCTGGGCATGTCAGCGGCTCTGGCTGCCCACCCCCAGCTAGGAGCGCTCTCTGGTAAGGCGAAGACCTCTTGGAATTTTAAGCTCAATTGATTAAGTGGGACTGTGTCATTCATTCTTCTCTCCTCCCCCCTCGGACAGAGTGGTGGCGAGCTGCTGAGGCCCACGGACGGGGAGCTGCTGCCTTTCTCCCCTCTTTCATCAGCTTCCCTCCCTTCTTCAGCCCTCACATGCAGCCCAACCACAGCGCCAGTCCCGTTCAGATCCGGATGCCTGGCAAGAATAGCCATGCCGCACCTAAAGGTACAGACCGTCTCCCAAGACAGATCCGTGGACTGCGGCCACAGAAATTTTTCTGTAATTTTTTTATAATCGACACTGCGGGATAGAAGCAGGTGACAAAGGAACATGTTGTATTTGTTTCAAGTGAAACATCAACAGATCCTCGTAGTAATTTCATCAAGTGTTAAGTGAGTTTTGAAATATGGGAATTACCATATTACCCCTCGGAGAGGCATTTTTTATCTATGTGTCTCCTTCTTCCACAATCGGAATCCACTTTGTCCTGCGATGAGATTTCTCTTTTTCCAGACAGATTTAATGACTTTCAGCCCTCACTTAGTGATTCTGTCAACACCCCATCCCCCCTGCCCCCTCCCCCTCTTCCCCCCTGCGTTCCCTCTTGTAATCTCTATTCCTTGCACTCTTTTAATTTCACAGTATCTTTTAATTTATCTTATATTATGTAAACCAGTCATGTTGGACTTGTGCCTCGCGCAGTCGGCATGTGTGATGAGATACACGTATAAATCAATATTTTTATCAGCCTTGTTCCATTCTGCAGTTAGTTCCAGATATTTTATTATCCCGCGTGGCAAAGTTCTCAGAAACGACGGCGCTGATTATTAATACGCCAGATGTGGTTTTGTGTTTCTAAGGAGTGAATGGGGCGGTAAACGGCGGCGGGGTCTGTCCCCCCACCACACAATCAGGGGGCTTTTCTGCGAGTCCGGCTCCCGTTCAGGCGTCGACCAAGCCAACCAAAAACCCAGATCCTTCTAACAGTCACCGTAGCAGCCCTCAGACCAACCCAGCAGAGCTGGTGGACAAGCCGATCCACAGACCTAAAGAGAAGGTCAGTACTGAGACTCAGTTCAGCACACCTCAAAAGGAGTGACGCGTGAGATACACAAGGGATGCTTATGTGCTGATTCCTTCCTTCATTCTTTCCTTCTCTCAACTCAGAAGCCACGGAGGAAGCCGGGAGACGCTTCCCTGGCGAGCAACAGCGAGTCGGGCACTTCCTCAGACAGCTCAAGCGACGGATCCCTCAGCAGTGATCTGGAAGACCTGGCGGAGGACGACGAAGACGACGATGACGACGAAGACGACGATGACGAAGAGGAGGACAAGCAGATTGAGTTTTCAGACTCTGAGAAGCGGTCAAAAAAGCAAACAAAGGTAACGTGGATAATAAATAGTGCCCAAAATGAATTTGACTAAATGCTTGTACCTGAAAGCTGTGTTTGAACTTCATTTCACCTGCTCCCCAGGTTTTGATACCAAGCACTGGATCTACAAAGACTAACAGACCGACCTCTGGGGAAGCCCACGACATGAAAGTCAGCAAGGCACAGAGGGCCTCCTCCAACCCCCCGAACCTCGTGCCCTTCCCCTGCTCCACTTCCCCGCCGGTCTTTACCCAGACCTCGCCGCTGGCCCTCCACGGCTCCAGGTCCCGGACGGAGGGGCCGCAGCAACACCTCAGCGTGATCCAGTCCACCGGCCTGGCCGCCAACACAAAGCCCCTGGCACTCCTCTCTCAGCCCCGCAGGGAGTTCTCCCCGTCTTCCTCCCCCATGGCCCTCGCCATGTCTCCAGAGGCCCTCTCCAGCGCTGCCTCTCCCAAAGCTCCCAAACCGCTGCCCTCCTCCTCCTCCTCCCCCCAGCACCTGCCCCTCTCCCTCTGCTCCTCCCCGAAGCCTCTCTCCATGCCCTCCCCGCCTCGGCCGACTCTCCCGCCGCCTACCTCCCCAAAACCCTTCGGTTCCACCTCGTCCGTGAGAAGTTCCCAGAAGTCCTCGCCGAAGCCTCCTCGGCGCGCCGCCGCCGGCTCCGCCAAATCCAACAAGAGGAAACAGCTGGAAGCGTCGCTTGCGCAGATCACCGAGTTCAGGCTCAAACAGGTAAGGCCCCCTGATATCGGCGGTTGAATACTGCAATTTTCTTTTTTTGACACACATCATTTTGCACGGACACAATATGCTGTCGGACGTAGACAAGATAAATTTAGCTGCACAGTCAGTTTTAGCGAGCAAAGTTATTCCTATCAACTTGACAGTAATGAATTTATCCACCGGAGCGTAGTGCAGTTAGATGTCTCTCTGTTTTTCCTCATCAATATCACTTTAATAGCAGCACCTCTTCTAATCTGGTGGCCTTTTACTCCATGTGTTTAACACAACATCCAATCCAACCCGTAGACAATCGCAGAACTGCTGCTGGTGAGGCGGCGTGCTCAATCTAAAAATGTTCTCCTCGGCTGTTTCCCATTCACACGAGGCAGTTTAAAAAAAGAGCCTCTTTAAAAATGTAACATGGCCCTCGAGAAACAACTGCAGACATCAGAGAGAATCGTGATTTAAACACCTCCAAGATTTCTGAGGAAATCTAAGATATTGAGTGTTTCTATTCATATGTAGAATAAGTGAATGTTTAACATTGTCGAATCTAGTTAATTACTACATTGGTACACATGGGTGGCTGCTTTTGTGTAATTCCACTGGTCCAATGGTCAAAACATGCACATGCAAATTAAATATAATAGCAGCACAATAATCAATAACCTTTTAATCAGCTTTTTCTGCGAAAATAATTTCCTTTCCTTTTTTAGCAGTATAAAGAAGTTTACAACGAGGTAAATTCCCCCTGTGGTTTCAGCTCTGTAACTGTATTTCATGGTCTGTGAAATTGATTTGTCTCACTTCACATCACATCACTTTGAAAATGCAACATAGAAGTCTAACCTGCCTCTTTTTCAACACAGATTGAAACAAACTTGTCATCATTCTAAAAAAAAAAAAGGCAAACACTCCCAGCAGCATGATGATAATTATGATGGAGCATTTTCGAATTTAAAGACAGAGTAATTCCAATCTTAGAGACGTACTCAGTCTCTTCTTGTGAACAGCACAATGTCTTTGGTTATTGCATCTATGTTCTTTTTGTTTCCCCAAAAAGGGCTTCGACACAGTTAACTGTACCAGTGTTCAGCATTGTGGTTTTGTCACCTGCTCAAACAATCAACAGTGATGCAAACTGACAGCTTGAGCTACTCCACTTTGTCCCGTTTCTTTTCTTATTTTCTTCCCCTAACCTTTCTTTGTTCCTACCATTCTGTCTTTCCCCGTCCCTCCCTCCCTCCCGCCGAATCCCTGCCTCTCCTCGTGCTCTCCCTCTCTCCTACTCTATTCCCAGACGCTCATGTCCCAAGGGCAGACATTCCCAGCCGAGCTAAAGAAACAGCAGCAAGGTCCAAACAAGTCCCCCAAGAGGACGCCTCTGTCTTCGCCGCCGTTGCCGCCCGCTCCGGCTCCTCCACCCCAGAACAATCACTCCAACCTCTTCCTCTCCAGTGCCCTGCTGGGGCTCCCCGAACCCCACCCCCCCAACGGAGTCATCCAAAGCATCACTCAGGACGCACCTTTGGCCCTCATCACCAAACCTCGCAAAGACTCTCAGTGCGACTCCGACGGCGGCTCGATGCCTGTCAATCTGAGCACCGGGGCGAGCAGAATCCAAGCAACTGCCCAGGCGGGGCCTCAGTCGCAGCCCTCCACTACCTCACCCCATGCCGCAGGCCATGGACCCAGAAAGAACAAGGCACCCAAGGGTAAGGCCCAGACACCAGGCCAGGGACAGGGACAGGCACAGGGACAGGCGGACCCTTTAGCTGCCTGGAAGGGCTTCTCCCAGAACCATCTGGTACAGTCTCTGGTTGATTTGTTCCGTGGAGGAGAGCCCGGGATCGGGATTCCTGGAGTCAGTATCCCCGGGGTTGGAATTCCCGGAATGGGGATCCCTGGGACATGCAACCCCACAGCCGGTCTCCCGGCTAACAAGGAATCTGACGACTCGGGGGACGACGATGACGATGAGGACGACGACCTTGAGGAGGAGGAGGAGGATGAAGAGGACTCAGATGATAGTCTGTCAGGTACGTGGCCTCTGTTACAGGAGTGAACTTAACGTTCACCTTTTAACTGGTCATTGAGACGTTCACATCGACAACTGACGATTGTTTTAATTATCAAATATTATTCTGATTATTATCGGTTAGTCAATTGATTAAAAGACGTATAAATTGTGAAAAGTGGGAAAGGAAGACAAGGCGTAGTCGTCTAATTGTTGGATTTGTTCAGCCACGTTCAGTTTATCGCGTAAGACAAAGAAAAGTAGTGAATCCTTCCGACCAAGAGGCTGGAACCACGCGGTGTTGTTCACTCCTGAAAAACAACTTAATGGATCCCACTTCGCTCTGGTCTCCAATTTCAGAGTCTGACAGCAACTCAGACAGCGACATCTCTGGGATGAAAGTGAAGGAGCTGAAGCTGCTGCCGTCTGGCTCGTCTAAAAAGGAGACGACTCCCCGCCGGCTAACCAAAGGCCCAGAACTACTGAACACCTCAACCAATCACACCGCCACCAGCTGCTCCCCGCTCGACCTGCAGGTCATCAAGACTCCCACCATCGTCACCAGCTCCAGTGCCTTGGCCTATCACAGCTCTCCCGGCTCTTCGTCCTACAGCCTCGCGTCTCCGTTAGGTAATGTCATTCAAACCTGTATGTGTTCAAAACAACGAGCGATGAAGGGTGGTTTTATTAGGACGTCATGAGGGGAAAAAGTTTGGAAAATAATAATAATAATAGTTTTGTTGTGATGTGTTGCAAAAGAGAATGACATGAGGGATTTAAGAAGTTACGAGGTGATTAAAGGAAAAGAGCTAATTGGCTGACTTCTGTTGCTACTCCCGTCTTTCCGCTGTCTTACTGCGAGGAGTAGATCTTTAACTTAATCTCCCAGGCATATACGGCACCACAAAAATAAAATACAGCACACAGCAGATGCTTTGTTTGAGCCTCTGCTCTTGAACAGAATTATGACACATTCAGATGAAGAAGGATAGCTAGTTGTAGGGAGTCAGAAAGAAGGCGTTTGGTACCAAGCGGAGCTCTCGGGTCCTGTAGGGTCATGCCCGAGAGACAACTTGTTTGGCATAGCAACGGGATTAACGTCTTCCTTCTTTCAATGCAGAGAAAGAAAACAAACGTAGCTTGACGGGAATAATTCAAGTAGATTTTCCAGTTTTTCCTCTTACACAATCCATTTTTCCCCCCCATATGGTTTTCTTAAATAGACACTGTTCACCAGACATCACGGTGTAAATTACCTCCTGTGCTCATGCACAACAGGCTTGGCCTTTTAGTTTTATGATTTGAAAATGGCACTCTGAAGAGTGTGTTTAACTTCATCGGTGACATTTGGCCGGTGCACGCACCATGTGTGGTTACTGGTGAGTTCGGGTGCTTTCACTGCTTTTACTGCATGTGTGCGAGGTCTCCGGCCGTAGGTTGTGCTCGCAAATTGATGGTGGGTCCCTTGTCTCTCCTCAGGCTCAGGGAAGAGGAAGAGGGTGATGGATGAGAAGGAGTTGATGATACCTCTGGAGTTGGGGTGTGTACAAGAGGCCGGAAGAAAGACACCTTTCATGGAAGCGATTCACTTGTGCTTGAGTGCTCACCTCCGTGGTTTGGTCACAAATGCACGGCACACTGTTTTTGCTGACCAAACATGTTATTGCTTCCTTTTAAAAAAAAACAACACAAAAAACAGGTGGCGGAGAGAAACGAGAATCAAATCGGTGGCGGGGCGATCACAGGGCGAGGTGGCCTACTACGCGCCGTGTGGCAAGAAGCTGAGGCAGTACCCAGATGTGATGAAGGTACCACGGCCGGCGGTGTAGCGCACACCCGCGATACAGAGGCAAAGGTTATGAGGCGTAGAGATGAGCAGTTCAGGTTAGAATGGGGAGTCAATGTGGGCGGCACGGTTTGTGATTTATTTCTTTGCTAATACCCGCACCACTGCTCATCCACTCGGCTCAAAACGAATGCTTCCGTATCAGGATTTGTTGTCTACGCTATCGCTCCAGCTGCACCCCACCGCCAACCCCCGCTTTCTGTGACCCCGATAGCGTGAGATGATATTCTTAGATCCACTTCTTCTGCCACTTATTTTCACCTCTCCTCCCCCAATCCCCACCCCCACCCTAAAAAAAAAATGATTAATGGTGAGTGTTGGGATGCACAGCTCTGGCCCCATTTGTGTAGCACATTATAGCCTATAATCTCCTTTGTTTGCTTCATCAAAAGCTCAAGCACGCTAATCGTCAGAAACCGCCTTTGAGTGGAGTAGTGCGCAGAAAAAAATGCCGACTGCCAGTCAGTCAGTCGGCAGTAAAAAGCCTAGCATGGCCACAGATACATAATAAAGGGCCTGAATTGTGCACCCCAAGGTCACAACCGTTTTTCTCTTTTGCTCTTTTTCTGTCCCCTGGCTTTTACAATGATTAGTAGCACTGCACAGATTTGCAGACTTCGTCTCCCTCCAATCTAGTGCTTCCCAGATGCTTTTCAATGTCGCTAATTTCACAATTTTTTTTTCTGCCTAAACCAACGTCATTATTATTTTCTCTTCTGTAGTATCTATCCAGAAATGGAATAAGTGGCATCACGCGCGATAATTTTAGCTTCAGTGCAAAGATAAGGGTTGGTGACTTCTATGAAGCCAGAGAAGGACCCCAGGTGACTGCCTTTCATCTCTTTTTCTCTCTCTTCGTGAGCCCTGTTCATCTTTTCATCTAGCGGCAGGCCAAGCATCATGCAGCACTGGCTGTCAGGGCATGAATAGGAATCAACAAAGAAATCTCAGTAATCCTAGTTCATAGACCTCTCGCTGTGCATGGATGAATGTAATAATCAGCTGACATTACTTCCACAGGTGACCAATGATATATTCCCTGTATGTGTTACAAAGATAGAAAGTATTAAGGAAATGGATGTATGTATTATTGGAAACAGAATAGACAAAATCCATGCTGAGGGGCCAGAGAAAAACTAGATAGAGAAGGACAGATAAGTAAATGCGTACTTGTTTAGTTATTGCATATTTTAGTCAGCTATTACCGTGTATCATAGAAATGTAATGCTACGTTATTTAACTCATCCCCTGTTCTTTAGTCGCATCAAATCCTAAATTTCAACATATCTTTCACCCCCCTGTGCGCCCCCCCCCAATCTCTCCGTCCATCTCTACGCCCCCCCACCCCCCCCTCCGTAGGGTTTACAGTGGAGCCTCTTGAAGGAAGAGGAGGTCATTCCACGTATTCTGGCGATGGAAGGTCGGAGGGGTCGCCCCCCTGGTTCAGACCGCGAGTCAGCGGGCGAAGGTGGCAAAGGCTCCAGGCGGAGGAAGGGACGGCCTCCTAATGTGGGCGACCCGCTGGTGCCCGAGGGCCCCAGCCCCAGTGAGGTCAAACTCCTGCGCAAACTAGAGGCCCAAGGTCAGCACATGAAATGAGCGCTGAAATGTGTTTGTCTCAAGTGTGTGTGTGTGTCATTAATCTTCCAGCCATTATTCAGGTAGAGGAGGTTGAGGAAGGGGTTAATGTTTTAATCATTTTAAGAGTCATCTTCTGTATGTCAGCCATGTTTGTCTTATCCACCTTCGTTCATGCCTTCTGCAGTAAACCACATTTTTTTCCAGATGAATCTGCATTGTTATCATGTCTCTTTTGGATGTCGCTGGGCTTTTGTTTGGCTTTGATAACAACATAGCAACAGTTAAACCTGTTCTACTCGGCCACCAGAACGGTCTGGTAGGCAGTTCCACCCATGAAAAAAACATCTTAATCTGTCTGTTTAAATGTTAATGGACACGTTTTATAAATATATGTTAATCTTTACAAGGAAAATTGGTTTTGAGTGTCTCCCCCTAATTTTGTCCAAATTTTACAAAAAGAATTATCCCAGTCAAACGTGCACGGTCGTGCATTTAGGTCTTCTCCTGAATTTTCCACAAATGTCTTTCTTCCCCCTGTGTGCAGAAATAGCCCGACAGGCCACCCAGATGAAATTGATGAGAAAACTGGAAAAGCAGGCACTGGCGCGTGCAGCCAAAGAGGCGCGGAAACAGCAAGGTAAACCCAGTTTGTGGGGTCTTGAGCTGTAAGGACGATAGTGGTGGTTTTTTTCGGTTGGTCAGTTTGGTCACTTCAAAGCACTCAATGCGTATAAAAACAAGCTTGACCCTGCTTGAATGCATGTTTGCATATATTTTCATGACTCTCGTCTTTTCTTTCATCTTTATCTGCTTGAATCTTTTATTGTTGCCATGCTGCAAACTTTATGCTTGTACAAATTCTTCTGTACAATGTGAGACATTGATTGATTTCTGTATTTATTATTTCTGCATGACAGTTGTTCTGTAACCGTTTCAATGATGTAACTTCTTTGAAACATTTAAGGTGGTTGTTATTTTGTGGCAGTTAGTGATGACATTGAAATTTAAGTATTATAGTATAAGTAATATAGTGTATTTATTCAAGGAAGTGTGCATGACTGACTTTTTTTTTTAAGTAACCTGAAACAAATTTAGCGTAACTCCTGCCGCTTTAATACCTATGACTAGTATTTAAGAGACACTGAGTGTTTATGGCTTGTTCCCTTGAGGGGTTTCAACATTTTACATGCCATTCTATTGGTTTTACAACAGTTGTCATCATTTCGATGAGATTTTTTTCATCTGAGCAGTCATGTATTTCTAAATTCATCTCATGTAAAATGCATCTCGACCCTAGCAACTGCAATGCTATTAGATATGAATCCAGCTGTTCGTCCAGCCTTGTTGGTCATTTTTTCAGTCGCTAATACAACACTGACTTTGACTCTTGAAGCTATCATGGCGGCGGAGGAGAGGCGGAAGCAGAAAGAGCAGATCAAGATCCTCAAGCAGCAGGTTGGTTTGCTTTACGTGTGTGCTGACATATCTTTTTCCTCCCTCCTTATCTAAGCGTCCTGACACACGTAGTCCCCGTGTGCACAGCAAGAAGTGCTGAATGTTTTTTTTCGTGATGCTTTAAAGCTCACTTTAAATTACCGTCATTACTTCTCTTATTGCTGTGTCTTTGGAATAGAGTGGTCGGGAAGTGATTTTATCTGAGGATGTTTTCTAATGGCTAAAATATTGAGGGATTGTGTTGTGTTTTCTTTTCTTTTTTTTATGTTTAACAGGAAAAGATCAAGCGCATTCAGCAGATTCGGATGGAGAAGGAACTCAGAGCGCAGCAAATTTTGGAGGTACAGAATCTGATTCAACAGCACCTCTGATTAAGCAGAACATTCCTGGATGGCTCCAGCCCCTCAGTCTATAGTGTTTTAATCTTCCTAAAGCTCATTACTGAACAGCAGCATGCATTGGAGGGAGTTGCGTCTTCTCAGGCATAATTCCACATGGAACTAATGCTAAATTGGTCTTGGTTGACGGCTGTTGAATATTAAAATGGCTGTTGCTGCCTCTTCAGACCTTATTTAAATTGGACAGAAAAGACTTTTTTTTCTTCACACAACAGTAACAGTTTAGCATAAGTGGGTCGAGATAAAAAAAAAAAAAAGGTGCTGTTTTCGACACACGCAAACACACATGCAAAGATGCGTGCACACACACACACACACACACCAACACATATGCAGGCTCACACAATTATACCGCAGGAGCTTCAAAGTGTTTTAGCAGGACTAAATCAATTTTGAGTTGACACGGTTGACGAGCCACTCTTAACGGGAGGCTTCAACATTTTTACAATTAGGTGTTAAAGAGATACATTATTCATTCGCTGTGTTTTACAAATTTGACTGGCATTCAGGAGCTTAAAATCTTTGCTCAAACCAGAAAACTGCAAACAATCAGTTAAAGTGCAGCGAAGCCCTCACCCAGGACTGATGGATATGTGTCCGTCTCTGAGGCTCCTGACTGTAATCTGTATTCACAGGCCAAACGGAAAAAGAAGGAAGAAGTCGCCAATGCCAAAATATTGGAGGCTGAAAAACGAATAAAGGTATGTTTGCATTTTTAAATAAATCCCCTTGAAACAGATGCATATATCCTTTTTAGATGAAAAATCACATCCATTAGATCATCTCAAATGCAGCGTGATACGGGCTCTTATAGTATGGGCTCTCAGTATAATTATAGCAGCCTTTTGAAAAGGGCTGAAATTCCATCAGTCTGTAGTGATTTTCATGCTATTGGCACAATGGAAGCTTATTGACTTTCCCCTCATCTTCTCTTTCTTGCCTTTAAGGAGAAAGAGTTGAGGAGGCAGCAGGCGGAGATCCTCAAACACCAGGTAGGCATTCTCTGCAACATATGTAGTTACTGCTGAATAAAACCATTTAACTCAAACTTCACTTCAATAGAAATTTGACAGTAGTGTGTGTGCGTGTGTGTGTGTGTGTGTGTGTGTGTGTGTGCGTGTGTGTGTGTCTGGGTGTATTTGTGCATTTATGTGCATTTAAATACCAGGCATGTGTGAGTCAATGTTGTTATTTACTAAATATCTATTTAATGAAAGTCTTAAAGTGTTTCTCTTTATTAAACGCCGTGCTTTGTGGTATTGGATATTATTTCTGTTCCATAATATTTTGCCAACTCTCTCTGCCAGGAGTTGGAGAGGCATAGACTAGATATGGTATGGGTATGTTTATTTTTGTACATCTAACACCTGCATCGTGTAACTGGTTGTGTTATGGTTGTCATAGCAATGCATTAAGTGTAGCACTGGCTGCTGTCATACTACATTCTTCTGCATGGCTTTCCAGCAAAACCAACAAAAGAGAAAAAGAGTCAGTATGCTGCCTCCATCTGCTCGTCCTGAGGGACAACTGACCCTGTCACGGTGGCCAGGCAACTTCTGTCCCCCTCCCCCATCCTCCCCCTCCTACTCAGAATGCATTGCAAAGGCTGCCAGCCAATCCACACTCACTGTCTCAAAGTGCACTGGAGGAGTTTCTATCCATCACAGACATCGTCTAACCGTTGTACTGGAGTAGCCTGTGTTACCCCATAACACAGAGTGCTCGGCGATTCCGGCCCAGACATTGAGCTTGTGTGTGTGTTCGTCCGTGCCTCTGTTCTGCGGTCCACCGAGTGATGGACTTTAACCTGCCCCATCCCGGCCTCTCTGTCGTTCACTGTTCCTGTACGCCGCACAAACAATGAAAACCGCTACCGAGAATCATTTTGTCTTTACGGTGGAGATACTTAGTTTGGTGAGGGTGCGGCACAACCTTTGCTTGCAAGTAGACCGGGTCAATTGTAAAACAACGATATAGATCAATTCCACCACAGGGACAACAATGATTCTGTGTAGTACTTTTTTTTTTTCCGCCCCGACTGTCCTGCTTGTCGTCACTCATACACAGTCACAGCTGAATCTAAAGGTCTGCCTATCAGTTTCATAGTGGACTCTGAGCCGCTTGTACCTTCCCTCAGAGCCAACTGAGATACATTAAACAATCCTGGTATTTACGGGTGTCACAGGCAATTGCATTGCTTTTGATCCGCTGTAGCTTGTCGCCACGATGCCCCTCAACACATTCATTGCGTTTGATAAAGCGCAGACTGTCTATGTCCTTTTGTAAGTTCTCCATGTGTAGATGAATCAAACCAATGAGGACAATGACATATGGTAGCAGAGTGCTCGGCATCTAGCCTGTTTTGTTTATGGCGAAACAGTCCTCACAAACTAGCCCCTTTCACTCACTCCGTGCTGGAAATGTCCTTGGCAAGCCCTAATAGTGGCAATTGTGTGTTTCTGGTGGATCACAGAGGAAATGACAGCCTGATACGGTGGAGCGGCAAACCTAAAGAGATCAAATAAAACGATAGTCAGTCACCAGTGATTCCGGTGCCCTTTTGCAGTAGACTGTGTATCATGCACCAAAGAACAGCATAGATGTCTCATCCTCAGCGGTCACATACTGTGCTAATACGTAAGGTGCCAAAACCACTGAGGTGGAACGGCTCTGTTTGTAGCTAGTCCTTACCATCTCTTCCTATTTGTCACCCTCCTCGCCAAACATTGTGAGAACGGTGTGTCAAAAATAAAACCATTAACATTGCCTGAATTCATTATTTTGATCATGGCAATGTGGCGAGTCTGAAGACTTCTGGCAACCAGCATTTTGTTGCTTTTGTTGTGTCAGCTTTAGTTTAGAGACGCCCGCCACCGATTCTAGCTGCTTCTCTTTTTTGAGCCTGTCATCACATCTACTTTGTACCGCATCTCTGTGTTGCTTTTTGGTTGTCATCGTATTACTGTACTCTTCACTAATGCTTCCACCATACATGTGAAAGTGTATACATGCGAAGCATCGTTTTGTGCCTGTTCAAGTGCGGTGCCTCCATTGAATTTAGTGCATCACAAATTTGCATTAATGCACACTAAATTTAGTCGACCTTGAGTGCTGTATGTGCAATGTGTGCTTCTTAATGTGGCTGTGTCTCTGCCACTCTAGGAGAGGGAGAGGAGGAGGCAACATGTAATGCTGATGAAGGCGGTCGAGGCGCGCAAGAAAGCAGAGGTAGCCCATATGTACACAAACAGTCCACTCCACAAAAAGAGCCTAAGTCATTATTCCCCGGATGGATTCCCGCCTTCTCTCCTTTTTGTGCGCTCTTTCCTTCTATTCATTTTTTTTTTCCTCCACACTTTCCAAGTCAAAGGATTGTGGCCCTCAAGCACTTTCCTTTTGAATGCACACCAGCATTAGGCTGAATTCTAATACTGCTCAGCAAAGTCAAGTAAACCTTTCTGTATGTTTTTACACACACACACACACACACACACACACACACACACGCATGCTAATGCACTAATGCACATGCACACTTTGCCTCCTTAATGCTCTCTTGAATTTTGGACTCTCCAGGAGCGCGAGCGCTTGCGGCAGGAGAAGAGGGATGAGAAGCGGCTGAACAAAGAGCGTAAACTGGAGCAGCGGCGGCTAGAGCTGGAGATAGCGAGGGAGCTGAGGAAGCCAAATGAAGACATGTGTCTGTCTGATCACAAGGTAGTTAACAAAGAAGCTCATCCGCTCGCTGCTATAGGTGTGAAGAAAAACACAGAGCGCACACACACGTTGATGTACTGGATATTGTCAATTTTTCTCATTTAGGTGCTGTTAAATACATTGAATTAGGACACACAATTCTGAATAATAATAGTATTTATTATTATTATTATCAGCATCATTATCAGTAGTAGTAGTATTAGTATTTAACAGTATATTTAACGTTTTCTTGACGGCCAGTACCTAAAATGAGACCACATGGTAGTGAGGATTTTTATGTGTGGAGATGTGCGCCCTCAAGTGGTAGAATGAGAGTACTACATAATGTAGAAAGTAAGATGTCATTACTGTAAAAAGCACCATCTTGATAACAGTTAACAGGTGTGAGATGTAATAACAGCTTCACTCACATTTTCTCACAGCTGTTTAAATCACAATCGTCTGTAGTCCAAATCGGATGTAATATGTCTCACAGTTCGTTATACAGCAACAATGTGGTACCTACTTTCCCTTGTGCAGCCTCTACCGGAGTTCTCCCGAATTCCTGGACTCATCCTGCCGGGACGCGCCGTGTCCCACTGCCTGATGCTGATGCAGTTCCTGCGAGGCTTCGGCAAGGTTTTGGGCCTCGATTTGAATTTGGATGTGCCCACCTTGGGCATGCTGCAGGAGGGCTTGCTCAATGTGGGGGACAGCATGGGCCACGTCCAGGACCTTCTGGTCAAACTGTTATCCCTGGCAGTGTGTGATCCTGGTTTGCCACCTGGACAGAAGGTGAGCGAGTTCATTAAGTGGTACTTTTGTCAAATTTTGAACCACCGAAACCAGCTTGAGAATTAAACCCAAGACGGATTATTCTATGCAGTAGTTTCAGTTCACATACTGTATATAAACGTATGACACTTAACATTAATTCTATTTAGTAAGTATTGTATGTTTACCGTAACTTGGTAATACACCTGTCATTGCTTTACTCTTAAGTGGAACTATTCTCTGGTACAAAATAATAGTCCGTATTTTTTATTAAGTGAATTTAGAAATCAGGACGTTTTTTGCTTTTTTTGTGGTTTTGTTATTTCTTATTTTTGGGGTTTAGTTTAGTTTCAGTGTTTTGATTTAAGGTTTAAGTAATCATAAATAAATGCATATGAATTTAATCAGCTTACAGTCATCAAGGAAGTGTTCATTAACTCAACCTCTTTTCCTTCTCTATCAGACAAAAACCATGCTGGGGGACCACCTGACCAATGTCGGCATCAACAGGGATAACGTGTCTGAGGTGCTACAGATGTACATGGGAGCCCATTGTGCCAATACTGAGCTTGCCCCTCTGGCCCTCAGTCTGAAGACCAAGGCCTTCCAGGCCCACACGCCGTCCCAGAAGGCCTCGATCCTGGGCTTCCTGGCTAATGAGCTGGCCTGTAGCAGAGCTGTTATCAGGTAGCAGAAGCAGCTGAAACGGAAAAAAGCGCAACCGTCCAACTGAGCTCTTTCTGTGTTACTTAATATATTCTGCATTAGACATGAACACTTTATCTATCTCTGTATTCACATAATACGCATCTCTCACCAAAAGAATATATCCATCCACCATGCTCTTATTCTGCTTATCACCGAAATGATTCATTAGCCAATAATGTTGTATTTTATTGATGCAGTGGAAAAAAGCGTAATAATGCTGCAGCAGTTTTATTGTAAGAGAATCATGCAAGTATTCATTTGTGCACTGGGAGCTTATTGAGCTTTTATCTGTTGCTCAATGTACTTTCAGAGAATACTAAACTGTACTCTGCACAACAGTAACTTGACAGGATTCTGTTTTTCCTCCTCCAGTGAGATCGACAAGAGCCTGGATCAGATGGCCAACATGAGGAAAGACAAGATCATTATGGAGGGAAAACTGAAGAAGTATGTTTTCTTTCATCCTAAAACTGTCACGCCGTGATTGTCTGACCGTCATCTTGCTGAACTTGCGTGTGCTTATAAAGGTTGAGGATCATTCATGCCAAACGCACCGGGAGGAGGGAGGCCAGTATGGGCATTGAAGAGAACCAGTCCGTCGGCACTCCGTCCTCTGCCATAAAACGCAAGAGGAAACTGTGTGGAGACAGCGACGATGACGACGAAGACGACGAAGACAGTGATGACCAAGCAGAGGACGAGGACGATGAGGAGGAAGAAGAAATGAAGAAGGTTAAAAAAGTGGAGACATATGATGAGGTAAGAAGAAAAATAAAAAAGATCGATCCGTCATCGAAGCTCACCGTAGCAGGTTTCTCGCTGACATTTACTGTTTGTTTCGTCCTCAGGATGAAGTGGAACAAGCCACCAGTCTGGAGGAGCTGGAGAAGCAGATAGAGAAATTGGCCAAGGTATGCTTCTTATAAGGAGTCAGAAAGAAACGCACGGTCTGTTGACACTGATAATGTTATATTAAGAACAACACACGCAGTGACATTTCACTGTGGATTGTGTTTAAACACATTTAGTACAAAGCATTTGAACACCACAAACATCCTACACTACATGATAAAAAGCTGCATACTATAAATGGATTATTATACGCTGTGTATTAAAAACAACTATTCTTTTCTTCATATTATGAACATGTGCGCTGGCTATATCCAAATTAAGGGCATTGATTATCCCAATAAATGATCTCATTAGCATTTAATGCAATCCTCAATATCTCACATTGATTATGGAAGGACACAAGGTAGCATGCATTAATCAAAACCACGTAGAGAAACCACTGAGAATGTTTTGTACGTTTGCAGCAACATCACCAGACCAGAAGAAAGCTGTTTGAAATTTCCCATTCTCTGCGCTCCACGATGTATGGCCAGGACCGCTACCGCCGCCGGTACTGGGTGCTTCCCCACTGTGGAGGGGTCTTCATCGAAGCCATGGAGAGTGGAGAAGGTAGTTACAGCACAACGCACGCTGAGTGTGCAGATTTGATTTGGCAGGTAGAGGAGGGAAAAGTGCTGTGAAAACATCTGTTTAAGCTGCATGTTTAGCTGTTTTCCTGATGATTTTTTACCTTATCTTGATCCTCAAGGACAAAAAAGATAATTATCTCACTGCTCTACCTTTCTCTCGAAAACAAGTTGACTCTGTAGTAACATCAGCCATGGTAGTTTTTTTTTTTAACTAACAGCTCTCCCCCTGCAGCTCCAGAGGAACTGGAAGAGGAGCGACAGAGGAGGAGGAGAGTGGCTGAGGAGGTCAAAGTCAAAGAGGAACCTCAGGAGATGGAGTTGCAGAAGGAGAAACCCAACGACCTCGGTGGGCAGAGCATTCAAACGCGAGGCTTGGAGCTCGAGAAAGACGAGGAAAAGGAGCACGAGGGGAAGAAAATCTCCCTCTTTTACCAGCAGCCAGGCCGCGTATCCAAACTGTGCACATTCCGGGACGTCGGCAAAGAGACGGTGACGGCAAAGGACGAGGAGAGTACCCATGTGAGACAAAACGGCGCAAGTCCCTTGGGCACTCCTGTTGCCACGACCAAAGGAACATCCCCCTCCCCCACTCACAATACCTCTGAGCCAGCAGTAGCAACAACCCCCTCCACGGTAACCAATAATGACACTAGCGTCCCTCCCCTGGCATCAACCTCTTTATCTGTCCCCTGCCTGCCAGCCCCGTGTGAAAGCCCAGGTACCACTCCTCCAACCTCCTCCCCAGCTCCATCTCCGTACCTCTCATTTCAAGCCAACGACCAGCTGCTCAGAGTCCTGACGGAGCGCAGCGGGCACTGGTTCAGCCTGCTGCCTCGCAACCCCTGCGACCTCACGTCCATCACCACGCCTCCCCCGGGTGCGCCCCGCGTGCCACCCCAGGCGTCCTCCACCCCGGCCGGGCCCAGATCCCCGCCTCAGTCCCCTGCACTGCCCCTCACCTTTTCCGCTGCCTCAGCCTCCGCCAGCCCGCACCACCCAGCAGGCCTCCTCAACTACCCGCTATCAGCCCTGCAGGTGAGGCTGCTGGCTCGACACAAATAGAGATAGCCGTGTTGTACACAGTTGTTTCTGCCATGTAAAAGATCACCTAACCCATGACCCTCGGTCTTGTTTTCGTCCTCCACTCCCTTATGTTTTTCCTCTTTTCTCCCCAGGTGAAGTCAGGCGCTTCATTGCTAGGAGTTTCTTTCGGTAGCTGGCCCTGTGGCCTGATGAGTCCCAGTTTGCCTCTGTGCAGCAGCCCCAATCCCATGTTGGGTCATTCTCTGGAGGGCAACACAGCAGCAAGTGTCTCCAGCAAAAGTGAATCACCTTTACCTTGCATGGAGAAATCCTCATCCATGCCTTCTCCTACGCTGGAGATGCCCAAATCCCTGGACCACGCCACACCTCGGCCTATTCCAGAGGGTGAGCGACTAAAACGGCATTGAGAGATATTAGTTGAGGCCGTAATTACCTCCCGTTTTCTTAATTGAGAAGAATTCACTTGCTTGATATACTTTCACTTGCCTGAATAGTCCAGGATAATTGGGTGAGGGAATGTTCCGCTCCGCTGTACGCAATTTCGTTTTGGTGTAGCGTAGCTGAGTGAAGCACCTTTTTGCTGTGACGTATGCTCTTTGTCTGGTAGTTTACATGCCTGTTTGTGCTCATTGTCTCAGAGAGCCTGACAGGGTGGTGGCGGGTGTCTGACATCGAGCAGCTGAGGGCTTTGGTCAGTGCCCTCCACAGCCGGGGCATTCGAGAAAAAAGCCTCCAGAGGCAAATGCAGAAATACACAGAGATCATCCCCCAGGTTTGCACCAAACACAAGGACGGTAAGTGCTCCAAACACCGCCTTTGAGCATATAATCACAATAAATAACATATAAGTCCTGTGAGCTGTATTTTCTGTCAGAGCAACACATGTTCAAATGTAGATGCATGCCCTTGTGACCGCTGAATCCGCTGCAAACAGCCACATGAATATCCGCGGATGTGTTTGGCTTCACTGCTCATGTGTTTACCCGCATTAGCAAGTTTATTTGCATGTGCTTTCATGGCTGACTGATGTCTCTCATGTTGTCCATCCAGTGGCCATGATTGAGCTGCGTGAGCTGGAGGAGAGCCAGGTCAGTGTGGAGTCCGTGCGCGGCTGGTGTGTCCAGGAGCAGGCGATGGAGATGGACATTGCCGTGCTGCAGCAGGTAGAGGAGCTGGAGAGGAAGGTCACCGCGGCCAGCCTGCAGGTCAAGGTAAAACTCTTAAGCCCACCCCTGCACATTTTGAAAGTGGTGTCAGAAACATATTTTAACATGTGGAGTGGTGTGATCAGAGGCCTGATGTCCTCTCCCAGGGCTGGACCTTTCCGGACCCTCAATCGGAGCGAGAAGACCTGGTGTATTACGAGCACAAGCCCCCCACCAAATCAACGCCTGGGTCTGCCAATGCAGGAGACAAGGACTCCAAGGAGCACCCGGAAGAGCGGGGGGAGAAGGGCGGGGTGATGCGTCACCTGGACAACCCACTGGACATAGCAGTGACACGTCTGGCTGATCTGGAGCGCAACATCGAGAGAAGGTACCTGAGGAGCCCCTTAGGTACCACCATTCAGATCAGGCTGGATAATGTGGGTACGGTCACTGTCCCTGCTCCTGCCCCATCCACTAGTGCTGACAGGGAAGGGTAGGTCATTTCTCCAACCAACGCTCCCCGTTCTCCCACTAAGAACCTTTTCCTCTCTGTGTGTGCTTCATGTTTCCCATACTACTCAAACAGGGGGGGGTATTCGCTGCCTTTACAGCAGCTTTCTGTGGTGGCTTGTTGCATTTTTGTTTGTTCCTTTGGTCTTGTGCAGTTTCTTGGCCGGGTTGGGGGTCTGCACTCAGTTTCATTTCCTGTGTAGGTGTTGCTTACTGGCTTGATGCATTTCTGCAGTCATCCGCATGGTGTGTGCATCAGTAACCTTGGTTATGGGCGTACTCATATCTCCCACTGTACAGCATACACTTTCACGGGTCCTCACTCTTTCTGCATGAAGTTCCCCTTAAATAACAAAATCGGTGTGTACGTCTCCTTGGAGCCCTACAGCTCCCCCCTAAATCCTCATGCCTGTCTCTGCACAGCTGCGGCTCTTTGTGGTCTGCTGTCTTGTTGGCGGCTGGCTCAACTGATACAGTTAACTGCCTATTGTGCGTGCGTGCGTGTGTTTGTGTGTGTAAATACACCCACGCATTCACGTACATGTGTGGCCCGCTCTGTCTCATTGTCTGTCATTATCTCCTGTTAGCAGCGAGGAGGAGGTGGCCCACGGTATGAAGGTGTGGAGGAAGGCTCTGACTGAAGTGCGCAGCGCTGCCCAGTTGGCCATGTGCATCCAGCAACTTCAGAAGTCCATCGCCTGGGAGAGGTCCATCATGAAAGTGGTGAGCGCTGCATCTCCGCAACGTTAATTAAAAACAAGCAATACTCAGAAGGGGTATGTGTGTTTTTAATGAATGCACTTGTTTGTGTTTTTTAGTACTGTCAGATGTGCAGGAAGGGCGATAACGAGGACCTGCTCCTGCTGTGTGACGGCTGTGACAAAGGCTGCCACACTTACTGTCACAAACCCAAAATCACCAGTATTCCAGAAGGAGACTGGTACTGCCCGGCCTGCATATCCAAGGTATCAACTCCATTAAAATTGCAATGTCATCTCTCTTACGGTTGATTACTTGTAGAGGAAATTCTAGCCACGTTTTTGTTTATCTGTTCTTTTACTTCTTCCTCTGTAATTTAGAATTTTAGTTTCCACAAACCAGTATTTGCAAATGTTAGTATTTAACCGGCCAAACAAATATTTTTCTTATTAAACCTGTCAATATTCTGCCTCAGCACTTAAAATCAAAACATATTTATGCTGAAAGTATTTGGGGGATTGTATGCATTCATTTAAAAGCTGACAATACAGAGTTGAGTGTAAATATTGGGAAAGAGAGAGAAAAAAACATGCAACAAAGCTCATTCAAAACAACTGCAAGGATTATATATTTCCTGTTTGGTTACTTTGACTTTGAAGTTTTATGGTTTGCAAATTGACTCGGCATTAGTTCCATTGAGGGACAATGAAACTCTCCAATTCATAAAACTCTGAGAAATAACATTTTCCTGAAGGCTATTGTGATGTTTTTATTGTGATGTGCTTGCAAAAGACTACTCATATTATTGGTGGTCCACGATCAGACAAGTAGTTTAGAAAAGGCCCAAATGAGAATTGGTCAGTGGACACTGTAGTTTTAGCGTTGACTGCAAAGAATGTATTCTTAATTCTCTGCAGGCGAGTGGCCCGTCTCCCAAAAACAAAAAACCTCCGAGCAAACCATTAACATCAAGCGGAGGAGGTGCTAAAAAGGGTGCAGAGGGGAAGAAGAGCGGGAAGCAGGCGGGCAACGGAGAGGTAGCGGTGGACGACCCGGCCAGCAGCACACCCAAAAAAGCAGCAAAAGACACCAGCAGAAAGAGAAAAACAGAGGAGAGCTCACCTGCGCCGCCAGCAGCCAATCAGGAGAGCCCTGTGTGTGTGAAGAGAGCCAAGACGGCCAAGGACAACAACAGGGACCTGGGTTTATGCAGGTATGCGCCTCGGGCCTGTTCATACTCGTCTTCCATCAAAACCTCCACCTGTTATCCATCCGTCTCCTTAACACTTTTGCAGTTGCTGCCATCTACTGTAGTGACAGTATCAAGACGTTGTTTTCTCTTTAGCAGTGAACACGGCTCTTCTGTGATTTTCTTCTGCGATCAAGTCCTACAAATTGCTCCAAACAAAGGAGGAAGAAATTCTAAACTTCCCAGTGGAAGAAAGCTCCTCAAAGCGACGGCCACGCCTTGTCCGTGTCTGACCACTTGTGTGTGTGTGTGTTCAACAGGGTGCTTCTTGCTGAGTTGGAGCGGCATCAGGACGCGTGGCCGTTTCTCACGCCAGTCAACATGAAATCGGTCCCCGGCTACAGGAAGGTCATCAAGAAACCGATGGACTTCACCACCATACGTGAGAAGCTCGTGAGCAGCCAGTAAGTTCCCGCCGCATGTAATTTTGGGTTACACCACAGCATTTGATCTCAACTTAACACTCTTTTTTTAATTTCAGGTATCAAAACCTTGAGACCTTCATCATCGATGTTAACTTGGTCTTTGATAACTGCGAAAAATACAACGAAGACAATTCAGACATTGGTCGAGCTGGTCATAACATGAGGAAGTTCTTCGAGAAGCGCTGGACTGAGCTTCTGAAACAAACAAATTAAACGTCTGTTCAGATTCTCTCCATAAACCCATTCAACTTTTCATACCGGAGCACCTGGTTTTACGTTTGTTTTTATTTTCTGATGGATACAGTGGCTTTGCAGAATGGAAGAAGTCCAATCCGTGATAAGGAACCCGCGGTGTGCATAAGATGAGATGTCACCGTCGGGGCTAAAAAATAAAAATGGCGTTACATGAGGTGCGCTGGATTTTATTACAACAGGGATAAAAGCCCCAAAGAGTCCCATAGAAATGGGGTGTCGTAGTGCAATACTATTCCCTGTCTCAGAACACTGCACTGAATTTATCCTCAACTGTCACTGACGTGTCTGCGCTAGAAGACTTTCCACTACTTGTAAATAGTCTTTTGTTATTTAATCGTATTATAGTGAATGTATTTAATTTTGTAATAATTATTTATGAATCAAGGTCCACTTCATTTTCTATGAAAAGGAAGAATCAGCTGAACTGCTTTGAATTAAAAAAGGAATGTGTCTTTGTGTTATAATTTTTCTCCCAAATATTAAACAAAGCCAAGAAAAAAAAAATACTGTTTACACTGTTCAGTGCTTTGAGGCATCAGAGGACTGTATTCATTTGTTCAAACTGTAAAACTGCATTTATTTACAGGAACAGCAGACGGACAGTTAGACAATTGTGATTTATGTGTATATACTGTTTATTAATGTCAATATTATGTCTTGTTTGAAACAATGTGTAAAAATTGTTTAAGAATATTAAGATATTGTTTATGCCTTAGAATGATTGTAGCATTCTATTTTAGTGTACGTGATGAAAACATTATCATAAATATTGTTTGTACAGTATATACATATCCTCTGCAAACACTGTGGTATCCTTAATCTTGGTAGTGCCTACCCTTCCAACAGGGGCATGTAGGGGACGTTATTGTTTTTAGTTTTCATTCTCATGACATCATTTTTTTTTTTTAATATGATTTTAATCCAACGAGGCCTCCAAAGTTGGACAGTGACACAAAAATCATTCCTCTCCATAGCAGAAAAAAAAGGAAAAACAAGCATTCAGTAATGCTTCCATGACGCATTTCCTCGTAATCTGCCACAATACAGAGGACCTAAGGCCATTTGTAACCACTGTGTTGAACCTTTGCTGTGTGTTGTGGCCTGATGGAGGCAGCTAGATTTTTTTGTACCCAAGTCAAGAGTACTTGAAGTTACTTTATTTAAGATATTGTGGAATAAAAGTATCATTCTTTTGTAGGAGCTTTATTTTTCACTAGTGTGTGGCACGGACCTATTAAAAGGATGTTTTTCAACGTAAAAAGCTTCAACTTGCTTTATTTCAACTCTGTCCTCCTGAATGTTTTTTGGTAAAAGCCATGGTGGTAAACGTGTAATCTCTTTTACTCTTTACGCAAGCAGAACAGTTTGTAATGCTGTTACACAAACATCTACTTGGAGATCTAACTGCCTGACATAATTTGCTCACAATAACAGAAATGCATGGAGTTATATTTGGGAGTAGTATTTCAATTATTTAAACTGTTAATACCCCATGGGGCAACCCTCCATTACAGGTAACATTCCTGTATATGTAATTTAATTGGACTTAAGTAAAAGAAGAAAGTCTGTTTCACTCAGAATGGCCTCTGTTGGCGTCGCATGTAATGCATTAACATGCAAGCAGCATTATCATGTTTACCTACTTTACATACCTATAGACATGTCGGCCTGTCTTAAACTGAAAGAAGTAACCAGGATGTCAAATGGATTTTAAAAAATGAAATTAAAAAAAATCCTTTTGAAATGTAGTTGAAGAATTAAGTAAAATAAGAGACATTAATTATGTAAATGCAGACGTGTAACTTGCTGAATTGTTCAACTGTTACAATATACACATAATACAGTTTACAAAATTACAAATCATCATCAACCACTTAAAGTCCAGCTATTTTATACATCAGTGGAGTACTCTGTAACTAATAACAACTAGTCACTAATGTAGTTTAGTCCTTTTACTAATTTACTTTTCCTATCCTTTAACTACCAAATATTAGGGTTAATGGCATCCCGTTATGCGGTGTGGCATATTTTAGAATAATGTATGCTGTAAAGGATCATTTACTAGTACTGAGCTCAAGCTTTTAACTTAGTCCCAACTTCAGCGTGACGTCACGCGCGTCACGGTCACGGTCAGCTGTTGGAGGAGGAAGTAAACAACGCCGAATTGAAGGGACAAAACGTCAGGAGAAAGGTAAAGTACGCTGCCGCGGTCAGACGTAACGTCAGCTTACGTTTCAGTCAGATTCATTAACCGAGTTTGCTCGTCGGGCTGTTTACTGCCGCGGTTCGTTTCCCCGCTTCTTGGCTTCATAACATGACGTAGAAAGCCGTTAGCTCGAGCGTTAGCTCAATGTTAGCCACAGTCACCACAGCAACAGCGTCCCCGCGGGGTTCCGTCGTCCCGCGCCTGTTAGCGGTTGGACGGCAAATGAAATGTTCATTTCAGACAACAACGACTGAGTTGTATGTTGCTGGTGTGTTTCTTTGAATGAGCTCGGCCGTGAGCTCTGCAGAAGGTTCCTGCTCCCGGTGGAAAGAAGCGCAGGTCGGAAATGGCCGTTTGCTGTGGTCACATGGTCACATTTACTAAAGTACTGCATCTACGTGCCGTCCTGAGGAAATCGTGTTGAACCTGAGCGTTTCTCGTCCTCGTGCTCAGACTTTTACCAGAAAGGGAACTATGCCTTTTACGCCACAACTTTTATCTGACATAAAAAATAATAATGTATGTTTTCTTTTTAGCTTGAAATAAATTCACAAGCAATATTGTTAATTGTAGTTGAAACTTGCCCTTTACCATAATAATACAGGATTATATAATATGTACATGATACGTCATAATATTTCCTTGTATATGTATATGCTATATGTGATGCTAATACGACATATGAGTGATAAACATTAGTGCATCATTAATTATGATTAAACTGGATCCTTTTGCTCTTCCCATTCCCTCGAACGCTCCCCCAAGGACCGGCTCTACAAATGACATCTCTGATCTGCACTTTACAAGACCATCGAGATGACGTCAACTGGTGCGCCTTCTCCGGCAAACTCTTCGCCACGTGCTCCGGCGACAAAACCCTCCGGATTTACAGCAGCCGCGACTTCTCGGAGCTGCCCTTCTCCCCGCTGTCAGGACACGGATACGGCGTCCACTGCTGTTGCTTCAGCACCTGCGGACAGTTCTTGGCCTCATGCTCGACCGATGCGACCACAATGGTTTGGTCCACCGCCACGGGCGAGATCGAGGCCGTGCTGGAGCATCCTGGCCGTAGTCCGGTGAGGATCTGTGCGCTCTCCCCCGACTCGGCACACCTGGTATCCGGAGCATCGGATGGCACGTTGGCCCTTTGGGATTTCCCCTCCAAAAAGCTGCGCAGGTACATTTGACACCAACAGCCAATTCATTCGCCTGGGTTCTGTCCCTGATTTTCCAAATCCATAAAGCATTCAGCATATTGACTGATAATGAAGATAAACTGTTAATCGCAGGGCCATTCATGAACACAGTACAAGTCTCTTTGATATCCTGACAAATGGAGCGGAGACCTTAGTGCTAACAGCTCTCCTCGCACCACTGTTTGCAGTAGCGTGACATAATATTTGCCCTTTCCAGCTACCAGCGACCAGTCCCCCCCCCCCCCCCCACCGTGATACTATACTTGAACAATGGCGATACGAGATTTGCCCGCTGATGCAGCTGCTCTGTCGGTTGTGTTTGTGAAGGACCGGAGCCGTGAATGACACCACAATGGTAGCCTGCTCCTTCAGCCCCTGCAGTCAGGTGTTCGTGAGCGGCTCCACCTACGGAGACATGCGTCTGTGGGACCTGGACATGAACCAGCTGCACGCCGAGAAAAACGCCCACGACCTGGGGGTCACATGCTGCACCTTCGCTCCCAGCATCCTCAGTGGTGACAACCATTGCTGCGTGTTTGTCTTCTACTCTGCGAGTCGAGTGTCTCTGGCAGCATTTGGGAGTAGAGAAATGATTAAGTAAAATGTTCTTTAGTCAATGTTTTTTTTTTTTTAAAGAATTCCTCAAGTCTTATCGTGAAAATGTTTGCCAGAGATGTGTACAGAGGCATGTTATTGAGCCGAACGACGACACCTTTTATCAAATATGAGCAGTAAATATGAGATACCATGACATTTTATTTGGGATTAAAATTAATCTATAAATAGATATGCAAATATAAAACTATCATTTAAGAAAGTGGCCTATACAATTCTGCAATTTCCTTTTTCATTTTTCTGTCAGCATCACTCATTTTGGCAGATAATAATGCATGCCTAGTTACAATAACTACCGTTGCATTCTGCAACCAATCCCTACATAGAAGATAACGATTGGAGTAAAGGAGGGGACACTACTGTCATATTAACATCCAGCATCTTCTCAGGTTGGTCAAAGTGACGTCAGGCGCACGCAAAGCTCTTTTGGCCTTATTCTAATCTCAGTGTGAGGGGAAACCGCTTCCACAGGCTGATTGCTACGTGGGAAAGATTGAATATGGTCTTTGGTCACACAGTATCATTTGTTTGTTTGTTTGTTTGTTGCCCTTTAAGGTAGTCAAGTCGTGCAGTTCCGCCTGGCGTCCTGTGGACAAGACAGTCTCCTGAAGATCTGGGCCGTTGACAAGTTTGTCTCTGGAGGTAAACGGACACACCGTGTCTTTGCTCGTTTGCATACCGAAAGTTTTCTTTCTAGCTGGTGTCTTCTCAGTCATGGCTTCAACCTCCCACCAGCTGCATATCGATGCGTGTAGTTTCTTTATTAACTGCGATTACAGCCCTGATATTTTCTCAATATTCTGCATTAAACTGCACCCCTTCTCTTTGCCTTCTGTTATCAGTGACCTGCCAGTCAGTTTGATCTGTGATGGTGTGTTTATTGCTGTTGTCTCTCTCTCACCCCCTCTCTCGCTCTCGTGTAGGCTATAAGATGCAGCTCCTGCACACGCTGACTGGCCAGGCGGCCCCGGTCCTCTCCTGTGCTTACTCCTCAGACGGGCAGCTGCTTGTGTCCGGGTAGGATCTTTAATAGGCTTAACAAGGCAGATGCAGGACTTTGGATGTTGCAAACACAATTGTTAGTGTGATTATTTCTGCTTCAAGGGAGCTTAAAATGTTTTTTAAACCAATGGATACCTGTGATATGATTAGCGCGCTTTGAGAGACCGTCGGCAGTTGGGTAGATTATATACAAAGGCCACAAAGACACATTTTGAAGGTTTCAAACCTTTTTCAAAATGTCAACTTGTTAAGCTTTACTGATCTCTAATCAGTTGTTCTTGATATATTTGGGATCAGGGGAGTATAAGAGTGCGATACCAAATCGTAGCCACTAGATGGAGACATAGATTGCTGTATTACTCAATGTATGAATGCTGACATTATGAACCGGAGAGTCATTATTATTATCTAAAATATTGCTCACATAGTTTTTTCTTTTTTTCCATTCAGTTCTGTGGACAAAACTGTCACAGTCTATGATGCTGTAAGTTCCTCTTATTTTTTTAAATGTCCTCGCTAGTAACAGGTTATGTTATAAACAACTCCATTCACAACAACATATTTACCCATTGTTTTGTGTGTTTGCAGGTGAATGCAGTTTTGCTTTACACGTTGAACCAACACAAGAGGTAAATACTCACTTATGTTTACGTGGTCAAGGTTTGTTGACTGTATTTTCTTATTGAAGATAAGCAGGAATGACCATAAACTGATAAATACGTTCATTTTCTCTCTCTCATCTCGCAAGACGGGATATCTTGTCAGTGGTTTTCATTAGTTTTGAATGACTAATTGTTATATGTATTTGTGTCTTCAAAATCTTATATTGGCATATTGTAGTTTGTGTGAATTCCTGAAAGAGGCCTTTCACACTGTTTCTTTGGTAACAAACCAAACAGATAAGGATTCCTGGAATTATTTAAAAGGACAAATATGAGACGTCACATAGAGATATTTCTAAAGCTGGTTTCATTAGTAATTGATTTCATAAATTAATCGCTTGTATAAAACAAGTGAAAGTCAGGTTTTGACATTTGACCTTTTTGTTAACAACAATATCCCACCTTAAGGAAAAGCAGCACCGGTTGATGGATTAGTGAGTATAAACTACATGCGTTTATTATTTTTAGAAAACGGAAGGTCTGCTTTCTCTCTTCCCCGGCACATACATGTACTCATAAGCCCCGGCTGAATGATCACACTCACAAGCTATTTAAGTCCATCCTGCCACCTGTGAATGAAAGGCAAAAAGCTCACTTCCCCTCACAGAGGCAAATGAAAGTCATTTTGGAAAACCTCTGAAGTGGAAGTAGACGAGGCAAGTAGTGAGAAAGTGGATAAACGGCAAAAAAAAAGAAGTACCACAACACTTGAGAAAAGGCCTCCAGGAAACTCCAAGTGATAATATAACATTACATGCATTACTTTGCATTACTTTCTCCAAGTTCTCACTGGAGGTTTTTTAGAAACATTGATTAAAGTCAACTGACTTTTGTGGATCAACACCAGCAATCCAGCTTAGAATGTCCTCATTAACGGGGCTTTGACTTCCTTGAATCTTCTGAAAATGTCCTTTTACCTCTTTATTTCCTCAGTGCAGCCTTTGATGTGGTAAGCGTCGCTGAATTGGCCCTCTGATTGAGGGCATTTGCATATATTGCACATATTTATTGAGCCTTAGTGCCCGCCCTCTAAACCTGTAAAAGCCCAACTGCGGCCTCAGATCCTCAGGCGGGGGCTTTGCAGCTGCTGCGAGACTCGGGTCTGAGATTTGGGGATTTTTTTGGCTTCAGTTTCTGAATGCTTTGAATCGACCTGCTCGAGGATCGGATGCTCACAGAATCACTATTATCTTTGAAGTTGCTTTAACAACTTATGTGCTTTCAAAAATATCTCTCCCAAGTTTTACATTTCCAGCTTCAGTTTCCACTCAACTTTCAAATTTCCTTTGGATCGAAACACGTCGACGGTCGGAAACAACGCTGGTCCTTTCTGTTACTCTTCCTGTTATTGCACAGAACACAACACGCGGGGATTGAGGGTGTCCTCTGTTGCAGGTATGTGACGGCCTGCTGCTTCTCTCCAACTTCACCACTTATCGCTACAGGATCGATGGATAAGACCGTAAACATCTGGAGGCTGGAGGATGGGTGCACTGACCATGGTGGGAAAAACACACACACACACACACACACACACACTCCAGTAGAGTAACATTTCTATTTGGTTGATGGATTGCATTTGTTTTGCGATCTCCTTTTTTGTCCGTCCCCTTTACTGAACCGTGTGTCCAATAGAAAGGCGGGAAGTCGTCGCCGGGTTAGTTTAGTTTTAATTTAAGTCAATAAGTCTTTAGCCTTAAAGCACAGGAGCTGGTTTTAAAATGCCAACTGTGCGTCTCTTGTCGAATCTTAAGCAGATTTGCACGTAGCTGGTTTTTGGATGTTGTGTAATAAACTGGTTTCATCTTGCCTTCAAAGACAAACCGGTATTGCACTGAGAGGGTTTTCTTTCCCTTTTATCACTCTTCAGTCTGTTTGCAGAAACATTGCATGGCATTGCTTGTGTTCACAGTCGCCTGCTCCTTTGTGTGTGTTCCAGAAAGTTCTGATTGGACATCAAGTGAAGGTAGGAAGCAGGAAAATATTCCTTTCTGTAATCAGTATAAATCACTAAATGAGACATCCGCCCTCATACAATGTGTGCAGAAACCCATCAAATAATGTTGTCGTGACTGTGATTGCTCGTGTGTGTTGTTCATGTTTGCTCTGGCATTTCTGTCCGCAAATAAAATCGCTCCTTCAAGCTTTTGGTTTTATCTTGCGTGAACGATGAAAATATCAATGAACCTCTTCGGACATTTCTTTCCACCTCTCTGTACTCACGCTTTGCCGGGCACTGCCCCCCCCCCCTTAGTCAGGAACTAGTCGGCGGGAGTGTTGCATGGAGAGTATTTGGCCATTTTTCAAAGGGCGCCGCAGCGGCACAACGAACTGAGTGTCTCGCTTTCACTCCCCCTCGCAGAGAGGACCCCGGCGAGTCGGTCCAAGCTGCTGGTCAGCGATTGGTCGGAGGGGGATGTGTCTGCGTGGCTGGTGGAGGAAGGCCTTCAGGGATTGGTGGACAAATTCAGGGCCAACAACATCGACGGGACAGAGCTGCTCAGCCTCACCAAGGAGACGCTGACGTCAGAGCTGCACATAGGTGAGGAGGACGCACGCAGCTCAGCGGGCGCGATGACACTTCAGCGGCCTCTCGGCCTGTCGTAGTCCCAAAGCTCGCCTTTGCCCCCCTGTGTTAAGAATATAAGCCCACTCTTGGGGGTATTGAGTGTAATATAGAGCACTTCGACAGTTGCATAATCGCATCAGCGAAGCCGTATTTCCCGTAAGGTGTGAGGTGGATTTACATCATATTATCAATAGAGCTTCTTGTTTTCTTTGTCCTTAATGCGAAAAATCTTTAGCTTTATTGGACTTTATTTTTGAACACCCAAGCCTAAAGTAGGAGTGCTGTGCCGTTGATGTCAGTCTAGCAGCTCGGCCAATATCCGTCAAGAAGTAATCGGCAAATGTTTGTTTTATTTCCCTGCCGTCATTTCCATCCCACAGCGACTGTCAATCACTCCTCAGTTTACACAGCTCCGCCGCGGTGACAGCTGGCGTTCGCATTGTTCACTTCTCAGGAGCGTTGTGAGAATCCCTCCTAACTTGGAGAACAGAGGCAACATTTGTAGATGCTGCAATGAAAGACCGCAACGGTGGGAGGGAAATCAATAAGTGTGCTTTTCATCTAAAGAGCCAGCATAACAAAATAAAACAGGAAAATCATCAGGGAGCCGACAAAGTGCTTTGTGTTCATCTGTAGTCAAAACAAATATTTAAACTCAAATCTTTCCGTTTTCAGCAGTCCGGTCTCGTATCAAAGTGTTTTGCCGAAGCAACACTATTCAAACTGTGCCTGCGTAAGTGTTCGACTATGAATTAGACAGCCGTAACACATGATCCGCTCCCACCATGTTCGCTCTCACCCACGCTCACATTCCCCATCCGCCAGTGAAAAGAAGAATCACAAATGCTCAAAACCGTGATATTCCTCATGATAGTTTATGTCAGTGTTTGGGTCAGTGGGGCTCGTTAATGAGCGCACACACAGTCTTGATTGGTCCCTTTTCTCTTCCTTGTGTGTGTGTGTGTGTGTGTGTGTGTGTGCACAGAGTCTGTAGGCCTCCGCGGTAAACTCCTGAGGAAGGTGGAGGAGCTGAAGAGCGATTCGGTGTGTTCGGGGATTCCTGATGAGTTCTTGTGTCCAATCACCAGAGAGCTGATGAGGGAACCAGTCATTGCTGCCGGTAAGCGGAGATCAGACCGTCTCCACTCGACACAATTCAGATACAACGACACCCACAGAGTCGACTCATGAGACTCAGAAAGTCACTTTTTTTCTTCATTTTGCTTTTGGGATTTGAACAAACCGGACATTTGCCAACAGATGGATACTCGTATGAGAGAGAGGCCATCGATAGCTGGATCGGCACGAAGAACCGCTCCAGCCCCATGACCAACCTCCCCTTAATGACGACTCTGCTCACCCCTAATCACACCCTGAAGATGGCTATTGGCCGATGGAAAACCAATCACTAGCATCTGAAAGGCTCACAGTGACCCAAAGATTTCCCTGTAGTAGACAGAGGTCCCATCATTTCAGGTATGGGTCCAAATTATTTAGTTGTAAATGAGGCCTCTGCCCACTGTGGTCGTTTCTGTGTTTTGCGTTAATTTGGAAAAATGTTGTCTTAAACCACTGGAGAGTATCTACTTTCAGTTTATTGAGTTTATTGACTGTAACATTTCGTTAAGTAGATACAGGCCGATACCATGGGAGCAACCCTTTGGCCAGATCAAGAATGCAACTTTAAAGCAGCTATAATCAAAATGATTATAATAACAAAGCTTTGACCAAGTTTTAATGTGGTTTTGGCTTTGTGGTCTATAGATCTACTGGTAAGAGCCAGATATTTCCCCCAGGAGATGGTGGAGACCAAAATCAGAGATAAAAGAGAGTAAATGTTAGCTTCATCAGGTGGCTTCATGCTCTGCTGGATGTGTTGATAAGTAAAGCCGTCCCAGTGGCCTGGACATCAGCTATTATGGCAAGTTCCGTTTAAAAACCACATGATACTAAAATGTAAACAACACTGTAGGCTCCAGGTTTCTGAAAATAAATCAATCTTTTGATTAGCTTTACCGTAAAAACAGTTTATTTTAAAAGCTTGTTGGATATAAAGATACTTTAAAGCTTTAACAGCTTTAAAATGAAGAAAATGTGATTGGGAAGCCTTAATTGTATTTTATATGAATTGATAGCGTTCTGATCTAATTACCAGAAAACAATAATTGGATCAGGAATGGCGATTAAACATGAGTTAATGTTGGTTACCTTACTGAAAACCACTATTTGCACTAATTGCAAGGTAATCTTTAAACATATGGCTGCTTAGATTGTTGCAGGATCTCGCTTGTTACAACACCGTTGGAAAGGTGCTTCATGTTTAGTTCTCTGTGCAAGAACTATACATTATGATTCAGCATTTAATGAAATAAATGTCATTAATGAAGATATTTCTGCAACACTGAGAATTTGCAACGTCAATTTCATACAAGCACTTTTTGTTGATGGTGGTATGTTTAGATAAATTAGGTTGTACCTTTTATCCATGCATACACAACTGAATCTTACAAAACATTTTATGGATTATACTGTGAAAGAAGTAGATGTGGAAATGTAATACTCCATTGACATTTTATTTTACCACAATGATGATGTGGTAACATTTTGTAATCATAGATGATCTGAGACGAGTATATGAAAGCTGTGGACATAAAGCTGTGTACAAAGTCTCGATTTTCCATCCTCGACTGTTGCTCGCGTAAATGCTCTCTCCCTCTCTCTCTGTATCCAAATAAACCAATAAACACTATATGAATATGCTCTCTGCTGTGCAAAAATAAATAACATACAGTGAATCTTGAAGCAATCAATTCAATATTAGATTATGACAAAAACTCCAACTGTACAGCTCCTTTTTTTATCAAATGTACCAAGAAAAAGACTCTGAAGCACGCAGTCATTTCTTTTGAAGCCTGTAATGCTGACAGATAACTACTTACAGGGAAATATATAATCTGCAAATAGTGTAGACCGTACAAATATAAATGTTTCTTAAAAGACACTTGACGATATAAATGGTCCTAGCCAGCAACTAAAAGCATGATTTTTTAAATATATATATATATATATATATTTGTGCACAAAGCTTTCTCTGACTTTTATATTTGTTATAATAAATTAAAAGACAACATACTTTTTTTTTTTAAATCCCTACTTAATGCATGTCTGGTTTTGTTGAATATACTAGTGTAGCTCTAGACAAGTAAGCGAAAGCAGAGGAGCCTGAGTTGAACACTGGTTCTAGATTGTAAATGCAGTGCAGCAGCATGACTCTACAAAACCGGCTCGGGGAAGGGAGCTGTTGTCAAAGCCGTCCCCCTTGCTACCTTATTGGGACCCTGTTTGTTGGACCCGGCCTGTGTCTGAGCTTCCTTAATCAGACGTTGGACTCTATAAACGAGCGCTTGGGTTTGATGGGAGCCATATGCAGAGCCGGGTTGTCCCTGGTTAGGCTCGCCTGCCGGTGCCTCCCGTCGGGGAAGCGTAGCTGGGAGGACGCTGTGCCTCTGGCCTCTCGCTGGTGGAGCCTCTCTCCAAACTCCCGACCGTGCTGCTGGCTGGCGGCCTGGCTTCCAGACGGCTGCTCCTGGAAGGGAGTGCGCTTGTACTCACTGTTCGACCCCTGAAACTCCATCACTGACATACTGAAAGTCTCCGGCCCTCCTCCTTGCCCCTGTCGGCTCAGGCCGGCGGTCTGCTGGCCTTGCACTCGCACCGACTTGTCCATCACTCCCATGAAAGGCCGGGCCTTCGGCTCCGGCTTCGTCTTGAAGCTGCCGCTGCTCTTGATGGGGCACGGGGCGTCCGACACCTGCTGCCTGCCGCCGTCCGACAGGTTCCCGCTGGAGGCCTGACTGGAGCTGGAGCCCCTTGAGCCTGCTGTCCCTCCTCCTCCACCACCACCACAATCCCTCCTGACCTCCATACCGGAGCCCAGAGCAAGAGACAGGCCATCCAGAGCCGCCGAGTGGGTGGAGAGTCTGTCAGAGCCCCTGGAGAAGCTGGAGGAGCGCGGTTGGTACATCTGGAGAGGCCCAGGTGGGGAGGAGCTGTTGGGGGACATGGGGTGAAAGAGCTCAGTGGGACTGAGTCCACAGTGTTCGTTGGCTAACCCGTGGCCCATGTCCACACCGAGCAGCGGCGCGGGCCTCAGGGAGGTGGACATACGTCTGCCAGGCAGCGGGCTGGACGGGCCGCACAGCGAGAGAGGCCTACCCCCAACTCGGCCCCCTGACTGGAGGGAGTGGCAGTGGTGCTGAGTCCTGCCGAGTCCCTGGTTCTGGGTCTGCCTGTTGCCTGTCACAGGCTCGGGCAAGTCCACAAAAAGTTGGTTCTGCACATATTCCTCTTGAGGGAAACATGGCAACTGGTCGGCTAAACCAAAGATCCTTTTTGGAGCGTACGGATTCATGGGCCAGAATTCTGGACTTTTCCCACAGTGCAGGCTGCCCTCGTCTCCTTCCTCTCTCTCCTCCTCCCGCTCTGCATCGGTCCGCTCTGCGGGGCCCGGCCTCTCCAGGCTTCCCTGGGAATAGACGTCTGCCTCCTCCTCTGGGGCCTGGTGGTGGTGGTGGGTGTGCGGGTCCCTGCTGTAACCCTGTGCCATGTTGTTGCCGGATGCCTTCTGATGATGTTTGCATTCCTCCTCCACCCGAATCAGCAGGCGGCGGATCTCCCGGTTGGACGGGGAGACTCGGGCCGCCTCGTGGAGGTCCGCCAGCGCCGCCGCAAACTGCCTGTGGAGGACGAAGAAAGTGAACTTTAAAGAAAAGACTTCATCTCCAGAGACGTAGCCTCCCATGCTTTCCATTGAGCGAGATGAAAGAATCATGTTGAACGTGCTCGTACCTGCTGCTCCTCTTGGCACGTGCTCTGGCATAATACGCCTCATAAGACCTGGGTTTGAGTTCCAGGGCTCTTGTTGCAAACTCTTCAGCTATCCCAAAATCCTGTGTTTTCAGGAAAAAAAAAGTGCATTTAGTGCTTCAATCTCAATTCATTCAACCAAAAGCCATGGAAAGTGTCTGTTTTGCAGAAGTAACCGAAAGCCATTCCAATAAAAATAGTGTTTGTGTTGACTTCTTCATAATAATGTTTCTAAAGTTCAAATGAAACAGAAGCTTTGCTGTAATCATTTATATTGACCGGGAGCAGAAAGAAAAACGCACACACGAGAGTTTTTTTGCCACCTCGTTACTGCTCTCATCACTCTCAGGTGAATATTTAATGACCACGAGCACATTGTGATTCTGTCCTTGAGAGTGAGGTCAAACTGGCAGCCTTGAACGTGGGATCGCGAACTTCTCCGCTGAATGTTTAATGACGGTATCATGTAGTCTCTCTCTGCCGGCCCCTTGCTGGCTGCATTCTGCTGTAATATGAGGATTTAGCCGGTCCACTATCCACTGTAAACAACAGAGAAAGAGAGTGCGCTCGCCGCTCTGCCGGGGAGAATGACCTTATCACATCACATTATCTGCTCCATTATTCATCGGCCACAGTGACCCTTAAGGACGGCATTTTTACACAGTCTGTTAGGACGTCTGTCATCACCAGGGTGGGTCCCCGACCTGGCTGCAGGCCCCACACATCTATCTCCACACTAACGGCACGCGGTTATTCATTACGTCAGCGCCTGGTTCCAGGTCTTCCACGTACATTCGGTTTGCCGGAGAGACTTTGGAAGTAAAGATGAAAAGCATAGATAGTTACTGCCATTATCTTTTAATGTTGATGGGAATAAATGACACATCTTGAGGAACCATCTAGCTCGCCTTGCCGTCCCCTCGGCGTCTAATAAACCTGCCGGCGTTAAAAAGTGAGCGTGAGCGGTTTGTTGCAGCTGTGAGCCTTACGTTGGTTTTCCTGCGGCAGCGGGAAAGGTTTAGATAGAGGGAGACCCGCAGGTCTTTGAGCCCTTTCAGCTCCTCTCCTTGCCCGTCCCGCGGCAGCTTCCTCAGGGCATACTGATAACGCTGGCCTGCCTCCTTCATTCGGCCCTTCTGAGAAACACCCAGGAAGAGAAGAGAAGACCATTTGTGACGACCCATCCGCCACACACCTCGCTTGAAGTCTATTTAAACAAAGGTGCCCGCAGGGTCCACTACGTTTTGACCAACACACCGTCCGGCGACATTTCCTCTGATATACCTTGTAAAGCATGTTCCCCTCCTCCATCAGCTTCTGCAGCAGGATGAGGAGAATGTCTGGTTTGGAGGAAGCCATAGCCCACGTAGCGTGACCTGATGAACGGGTACAAATATTTATCTTCCTAATATCTGTCTCGTCTGGTCTCTTTGACTCTGTGCCTCGCATCAATCTTGTACCTGATCGATCGTGTGGAGCCGTTTTGTAGCCTTTCGGTGGATGAAGGAGAGGGACCGGGGGCGGACAAAAGACAGGGGCAAAAAAGGCTTTGAGTATTGGATGTCAGAGAGGAACAAAACAGTGAAATAGATAAATATGAGCTATAATACAGCACATCACACAAATCTATCGTAGTCTGCATTGATCGGATGAGGTCAAAGAGAAATATGAAAACACCGTTTAGCCGGAGAGGAGTTGACTTTAGAGGCCGCGGGGCAGTTAAAGATTTAATGGTTTCTTTGTTCTGACTATAGAACTCCTCTGCGATGTACTGTAGGGCCGTTAAGGTAAGCCTGGCGTTCATACCCATCTTGGATCCCTTCTTAAGGAGCGCGGCCACCAAAGCCGGGTTCTGGCAGCCGGCCGTCCGGTCCGAACCTCTGGCGCCGTTGTTGTCGCCTCTCTCCAGCACCGCCCCGTTTTCCACCAGGCAATGCACCTGGCAAACAATAACAACATGGCATTACTCCATTCAAACGAGAGATTCTAGAAATTCAATAATTCGGTTCATTACACTCATTATGTATCGGTCTGCAACTCTCTACCCTGATGGTTTTGAAAAAAAAACATTTGATTATCAGATAGTTTTGATTACTCTCCTGCTGATCAATAGATTACATTACATTTATTTCATTAACATTTGGTTTAAACTCCACATGAACTGTGATTGCAAATGGACGTCCTGAGGACGTTATTATTATCATCCTAACTTTAGATTATGATTTACTCCTTTGTTTAAAAAAGAGTTATTTTCATTGTGGACTGTTATGAATTGCTAATCATCTTTGACGCATTTTATGCTCGGCAACGGGTTTTCAGCTCCACACTTCTCCACCAAGGTCTGAAATTTTGCTCTCTACCAGGGAGAGAACAGAAAAGGGCATTTTTTTGTAGGGGTTTTTTTCACCATCATCAACATGATGTATGACGAACAACCGCATGAAACCCACTGTATCTGCATCCCCGGTGAGGGCAGCGAGGTCGAGAGGAGTCCTTCCCTGTCTGTCCGGTTGGTTCAGGTCGGCGCCGGCCTCCGCCAGCAGTTGCACCACGGCTTTCTGGCCCTTCACACAAGCCCAGCCGAGTGCGGTGAGCCCCTCCTGGTCAGCGGCGGACACAGATGCGCCTGCGACCACAGACGGAACAAATACAGTCAGCATGTATATGTCAGAAGGCCTTAGTTGGGACGGTGGGGACCCCCACCCTTTGTCAGCAGCAGTTCGACGGTGCTCGTGTGGCCCTCGGAGGCTGCCAGCATCAGCGCGGTGCGACCCTGCTTCTCATGGACCTCGAAGTCTGCGTCTTGCTTCAGCAGCAACTCCACAACCTGGAGATGGGCGACAAACGAAGAGGACAGGAGCGGTTAAATGATGAACATCCGGGTGGGGGGG